CTGAGACATTTGTAACATAAGAGAGACCGATCTGCCGTGCACACGCGTGGCTTCAACTTGCGCCTGCTGATGCCTAGCCTCGCGCAGCTCTCCACTGTTCGTGCCGAGGACCTGGTGTCCGTAGGAAGTGGGGGACATGACAGCGGCCTGCACCATGTGATGCGCCTGCTTACGCTTGAGCTGCTTACCTAGAGAAATCAACGTTTTGTGTCGCTTGCGGGCAGGGGCAAAGCGCTCACGTCTGACGATCCTGGCGGCAGCTCGACCTCCTGAATAGTCAATGCCAAGATTGCGCTCGTGTCGCACTCCTACGACTGACAGTTTCCGCAATCTGGCCTGAATGCATGCGAGGAGATCGGGAGAGGAGGCAACAACTCTGCTTTTGCTTTGCTTGATGCGCAAATCTACACACTCAAGCTCATGATGCAATCTCAGCGTAGCGCCTGTGACATTGGCTATCACATGCGATTCACGCCCATAGGCGTGGAGCCCAAAGTCGTCCACAACCACGCCTAAATGCACCGTGCGAAAGGCCGAGGCGACCGCATCTAGCGGTTGGAGCAGCGCAAGCTGCAGCATGAGTGTGGCGAAGTGACAGCCAGGGATCACAGACTGCAGCGAGTGGATGACTCGCGAGGCCCGACCGTCGAGATCCAAATGCGAGGGGCACGATACAAATTGATGAGCAGCTTCAGCTGCCGTAGAGGAAAGTTTGATGCCACGGCGGCCTGCAACAGCCTGTGATGGGTGATTTGCTCGAAAGCCTTTTCAAGATCGAGCAAGACGAGAGCACTTGAAAATCCGCGACCCTGGCACCATTCAGTCATGGCCGACTGGACCCAAACCAGTCTATCCGACCCGCGCCCAGCCGTGGACTTTCTTCCTCCTCCTCCTCCTCCTCCTCCTCCTCCTCTTCCTCCTTAATACGGTGGGGGCGTCGGTTAAGGAGTGTGCCCAAGAGGCTTCAGACCCTGGAGAATTCCATATCTGATGGGGGCGGCGGTGATGTCCATGGCCGAGCCTCAATTGGCTTTCCACTGGCTACCAGACCCTCGATTCCTCTTCCAAAGCGTCCTTATCTAGTGCCCCCGCCGTGCGTCCATCCGTTCTGCTCCCGCTCCCCTTCTCTTCTCATCCGGCACGCGCGCGAGCCAGCGGAGTGCTGATGTCATTGTGGTCGGCACCTTCGGCGAGGACGCTCGCGCGCTGCCTGCGGCGCGAGTGTCGTGCCTGGACCGGCGGGGCGCGCGCAAGGGCTTGCTCGCAGGGTCGCCGTCCTGCGGCGGACCCCGAGCGTGCACTGGGTGCTCGGCGGTGCCGATCGGGGCCAGCTCGCCTCCTTCCAGGGATGCGCTGGAGGGCAGCAGCACGCCGCTGCGCACTGGCGTGGTTGAACTCGCGCCTGCGCAAGCCGTGCGGGCGACGCGGGTGGCGTGCGCCCCAAGAGGGCCCCAGGAGGCGGTTTGGACGGCACCAGCAAGGGGGGGGCGCTAACAGACGGGACCGCCCCCCTTCACATCGATGGCCTCCGAGATGGCCCTCTGTGAATGTGTGCATCGAGAGCCTCATCGAGAGCCTCATCGAGAGCCCTCATCGAGAGCCTCCTCCTCCTCCTCCTCCTCCTCCTCCTCCTCCTCTTCCTCCTCTTCCTCCTCCTCCTCCTCCCCCCCTCCCCCTCCCCCTCCTCCCTCCCCGTCTCCCTTTCTTACTCGTCGTCCTCCTTCTCCCCATCACCCCCCCCCCCCCACCGGGGAATTTCCAGGTCTCCAAATGCGCAACAAGGTCCACAACAGAACGTATAGCAAGTACCACAAAAGTGGGGAAAACAACACTGGGGGGAAGGAGCACTGGACGATGCCTCAGGCAAAGCCCAACCTTCCTAGCAGCGGAATGCTGTACCCGAGAACATTGGATCTGGCGATCGGGCCGCGACCATCCTTCAACAGAGACAACGAATTGCAGCATCATCGTTCCAAGGACGGCTGAGGCAAGCCTCGGCAAGTACAGTAAGAGCTCGACCACAAGGTATCTTCCACAAGACGCCCAACCCTGAGACCCCAGAACGTCCATTGGTTCTTGGTGTGGGAACATCACGCTTTCCATAGGAAGACCATCGAAACCCACGACACCCAGGGCCCCCCTGGAGGAAAGCAGGATGCTTCTTGGCATGAATTTTCCACTGTAGATGCATGCGATGTCTCGCAAAAGCCCCGCAGTTCGAGCACCAACTGACTGGCAGGGCGGCCCGCCCATCTCCTTCCCATGGTCGGTGAGGCGGGTGGGCCTGCCTTGCGATCCCAGGCCATCCTGTGCACCTGTAGGAAGCCAGGCTCGAGCAAGCCCTCCCGAGGTACAAGCATCTACCACACATGAGCCCCTTGTCGCGACGAGCTATCGTACGTCCCTTGGGCATCCCCTTCTTGGCAACCGTCTTGACCACATTCCGAAGGGTTCTGCAAACCTGCTCCGAGACTGCAGCAGACCATTTGCTGCGTCTCTGGATGTCCTTCTGCTGCTTGAAAGCTTGACCACACAATAAGATCAGAATGTTGGATTTCTTCGGCAACATATTTGACCACCCTGTCGGCAACTCGGTTTCCACTTCATGTCCAACATGGAATCCCAACATGCATGGCAGCTAGCCAGCTCTTCTGAGCTGGAAGTTTGATCAGGGAACAGTGTTCGGCCCCGAACTCCCGACGACGGAAACAAATCATTTCCCAAAACTCATCGTACGCATACAGCAAGCTAGAGGCGTCAGCTTCGGGACCCTGGACCCAGACCTCGACCACAGTCTCACAGTCCGTCGCGCACAAAACAGGTTCTGGTCCCGAGTGCAGTGCCGAAGGATCACCAGAATCGTGAAGACCTCAACCGCAGATTTTATGTCGTGTCAAGAACGTGCTCCAGGGGCCCACGCGCGCTGGCTGACACTCGCCCGCCCGGCATCATACAACCGCGAACGCCCTCGCAGCGTGGGCGAACAAGGGCAGCTCGGGGTGCAGCGCCGAGCCGTCCGAAAAGACGTTGCCACTGATCCGGCCGTAGTGCTGAGGTGACACTCACTGCCAAAAACTGACACCGCGAAACCCAGGAGTGTACTTGACAGGAGAAGCCTCGAGGCAGCGAGAAAACAGCAGGTCCTGAGAATCACCACGCTACCAGGCTCCCAGATCTGAAAGTCCTTGCTTGCATCCAGTGGAGAATGACCTGTCCGTTGGAGCAGCAAAACTCGATAGTGTCCGGAACCTCGAGCACTGAAACAAACCTGGCAGAGACCGCACGATCCTAGAACACTCTTCCTGGGTCACAAATCTTCCTGCCGCATGTGTGGCGAGTAAGCCGGCTTGAAGGTTCCCATTACGCTTGCGCCAGGTCCGAGAGAAAAAGGTCGCCACAGCGTCCAGCTGTGATGCAGAACAGGTTACACTCCTATACTCCCAGCTGGCTTTCCGGAGCAACGACTCCGTAGTGCCAAGCTCGACCAGCTGGCTGCGGGTATGCTTCCGCTCACCATTCAGATCCACAGAGGCCCCTCTGGGCAGGATCCAGCGGCAGAGAGCCTGAGGATGCACGCAACGTCGTGATCGTGGCCCCCGCACGGCCCGTGACCATACTGCAATCTGAACCGTCGTCTGGATCTCTGCACACGTTAGAGGCAGACTTCATCCGAAGCCTCGGAGCCTCGTCACCCCGGAGAAGCTCGCCCCAACGCCATAGCATTAAGACTGCTACTGACAAATCCGAGGTCCGCCTCTGGGGATGGAAATGACCAATACCGAGCCGTACAAGACCCCTCCCCTCTCCCCTCCTCCTCGTCGTCCTGCTCACTCTCCTCCTCGTCCTCCTCCCTCCCTCCCTTTCACCTCCTTCTCGTCCTCCCCTTGCGCCTTCGAGCCCCTCTGCGTCGGGTCGAGGTGCCACCTCTTCGCCACGTAGGCGGAGACCGCCGCGTCGACCTGCTCACAGGCCAGGGACAGACGATGGGTGCATATTGGCTACAATGCTCCGCGCGCGACCAGCTCCCATGCTCGTGCAGACATCCCATCCGCCCGACCGTACCGTACCTCGGCTGTCAAAACATGATCCAACAAAACCTCGTCGCGAGGAGCAAGTCCATCCTTCGGGACTCGCAAGGCGGACGACGGTGTAGACAAACGACGAACACGAAGACAAAGAGGATGGCGATGATGACGATGATGAGGAGCGTTGATGCCGTCGACGATGATGACGCTGGCGCCAGTGATGCGATGGAACTCGTGAAGGCGATGATGTCGCGCGCAGTTTGTGTTGTGCATTGCAAATGAATTTTGTTACAGGTATCTAAGATTCTCGATCTTGAACTCTTTACGAAACCAAAGTTTTGGAATAATGCGCCCGTGGCCGTGGCGCGCGAGTGATCCCCAGGGTATACGTTGACAGGGATCGCATCCCCGCCCCCCCCCCCCCCAGGAAGTGAGCAAGGGCGTTCGCAGGAGTTCGACATGCGTGCGCGCGAGAGGCCCGCGTGGTTTCACTTGAGAAGGAGGTTGAAGTCACGCCACGCCGGTTCCCGAAGAGCTAGCAAGGGGGCGCGCGCGCAGTTGTCGCACACAAACAAATGTTCATAAGCCATTGGTGCGTGTTACAGGTGTTCAAGGCTCTCGATGTTTACATCCGTACGAGAACTCAGCGTGCTGGAAGGAGCTCGACGTGCGCCCGCGGCGGACGCGCGCAGGTGGCCCGCACGGCATGACGTGGTAAGGACTCGCGCCCAGGGCGCCTGCTGGATCAACGCGTAGCGGCCGCGTGGTAGTACGAAACTGCGGACCTGGGGCGCGATTGCTAAACTCACATGGTGTTCCTACGTTGTCTGCACGCGCGCGCGGGCAGACCATGCGCACGAGACCTGGAACTGACGCCCACGCTTGTTGAACTCCTTACAGGTGTTGCGTGTTCGGTGTGGTATCGACACGTGCGCGCGCGTGCGCACGTTGTCCAAGGGTGTGCAAGAGATTATTGAAGCAAAATGTTTTGCTATAAGCGGGTATGCGCGCATACTGTTGTTTGAGTCGAAGCGGAAGAGGACATGGAGGATCATAAGAAAGACGACGACGACAAAAAAGGACGGCAAGGAGCCCGACAAAAAAGGACGTCAAATGGAGAGGGGTCATCATGGTCTTTTGAGGCTACGCTGGGTGCTGTTGGGTGCGTGCTTGATTGGGTGCGCGATTTCATTACATCAATCAGCAGGCCTGGGAACAGATGCAAGCGACTACCGATGGTAGATGGAGCAAACGGCTCCTGGAGTGGCATCCTTGGCACTTTGTACGCAGCACCCCGCAGTCGCGGATAAGAGAGAGTGGGCGGTGGGAACGTCTGCAGTCTGCTGGGCGAAGTTATGCAACGAGCCTGCCATAGGGGCCGATTTTTCCTTAAAGCAATGTGGGTGGGTCGCGGGGTGGGTCGCGGGGTGGGTTCCGCACTCCGCAGCCCCGCAGAGGGGCCTCGAGGTCTCGACTGGGTCCCCGTGTAACTCCACGCCGCGCGACCTCCCAGGAGCCCACGACAATGGCGACCATGTCACGCTTCGCAGCTCCACGGGAGCCACGAGGTCTCAACAGGGCTGCGGCGCAAGCGGGACGCAGGAGAGGAGGAGAAGAGGGGACAGTTTGCGTGTCCCCCCCACTCCGCTGGACCTCCCAGGAGACAGGAAGAAGGAGACAGGGGGGGGAGGAGGAGGCAAGAGGGGGGCGAGGAAGGTTAGAGAGCGCAGTGCTCCATTCAAAACGAGAACCCAACAAAGGAGAGTTTGGAACAAAGGAAGCAGGAGGCAGGAGGGAGGCGTGAAGAGATGCAACCACAACGCTCTATTCAAAACTTGAGCCCATCACCGGAAAATTCGGAAACATACCAAATATAAACGGTCCACGCCAAAGGCGCTTCCCGTCATCCGCCACCGTGCCTTGTGCACGTTGAGGCGTGGTCGCATGCCGAATGTTGCCTGGCAGGGTTTCTGTAATGTTCTAAGGCCCCCTCTGAAAGTACCCACCTGCGTGCATCCCCCCAGCTTTCCGAGGCCATAACCCCTCGCGAAATACAACAGGTTCGCGCTCCCGACGCCCAGATGCCTCCAAGACAGCCCAATATCGCTCCAAGACGGGCCACGCTGGCCTCAAGACGGCCCCAAATGGTTTCAAGGCAGCCCACCAGGCCGTCGAGGTGCCCCAAGAGAGCCCCAAGAGCCTTCCCAATGGAGCCTCGAGAGGGACAAATTACGTGTCGTCCTTAGGATTTCTATGTCTTTCGAGTTCTCGCCTTGTCGAGCTTCCGACGTCCCAGGTCGACCCCAGAGGCCATCAGGACTGTCACAAGACGGCCCAAGCGGCCCCCAAAGAGCTCCAAGACGGGCTCCCAGACGGGCCGAGAGGCGCCCACTACTGCCCGAGAGGGCCCCAAGACTGCCCCAAGAAGGGCCCAAGGGTGGGAACACGAACTCTGCATTCTAGCCTTCTGCCCCAGGAGGCCCCCAACAGGCCCCCTTGCCTTCTCGAGAAGCTGCCACGCAAACTACTGCGCTGGCACGGCGGCGGCATTGCAGGAGGCAGCCGGATAGAAGGGACAGGCTGGCCGTGGGTGGAGCGAACCTCCTCCTCCTCCTCCTCCTCCTCCTCCTCCTCCTCCTCCTCTCCTCCTCCTCCTCCTCCTCTCCTCCTCCTCCTCCCCCTCCTCCTCCTCCCCCTCCACCTCCTCCCCCTCCTCCCCTCCTCCCTCCTCCTCCTCCTCCTCCTCCTCCTCCTCCCTCCTCCTCCTCCTCCTCCTCCTCCTGCACAAGGTTGGGAAACCACTGCCTGCAATACTGCCACGGCTGGGACGACTGGAAGGGCTGCCCCCATCCAGGCGTTCCCCTCGGAGACGTGCTGAAGCCACTTCGAGCTCGGCCAGAGACGATCCGCTGGCTCACTGGCTTGCATGGTCTGTGCACCTCATTCCCGAGACGGCCTCCGGCGCGTGCAGCACGGCCCTGTACAGAGACCAGTGCCCCCCCACGACTCGGCCAAGAAGGCCTAGACTGGCTCCAGACAGTGTCCACGATGGCCCCAAAGAGTGCGTTTCTTCATTGTCGGCGATCATGGGCATTAAAGGGGGGGGGGCGGGGCCAGGGGTGGTATAATGTAACGCCTCCCCCCCGCCGTGCGCACGGCGGCAGTGCCTGGGGCGCACGGGGGGGGAGGGGCGTTACGTTGTAGGGGGGGGAGGGGGGGCCGGGGGCTTCAATGCGCATTATGCCCCAAGCAATAAAAGATCCACGCTCAAACTCCCCGAGACTTCCATGAGGCACCCAGCAAGCCCAGGCGCAACCGAGAACGCAAAAACCAACAAAAAAAGGCTTTGCATTATTGCCGTCCCGTGTCCGTCCAAGGCCTCCAGAGTGGGTCGACACAACCCGCTGGCGTCTGTTGACGCCTTCCTAGTGGTCTTAGTCGGCGGACCACCCAGAGAGCCCAAGAATACCAAGACGGCCTCATGCCAACCCAGTGTGGCCTCATACCAGCCAAGACAGCTCACAGCATCCCAACAGGCCCCCAGGATGCAATCCAGCAGACACGAGCTAGCCACAAGACTGGCAAGCCAACTAATCAATGATTGCGTGTTTTTGCTTCGCCACCTCTGCTGTCCTCTGGCCTGAGGTGGCTGTGGAAAGCGCCGACGGTGGCGCCCCCCCCCCAACGCCTGCATCTGGACGATGCTGCGCGGTGCCCCTGTCATGACGTCATGATCAGAGCCCATTCAGTCGATGGGGTGATGTTTGAAAACAGGTGAGCACGGTCATCACCTGCGCGAATTGAATACACCCAACCGGCTCCTCCGATTCGAGATGCACCCCAGGCATGGAATGCGGTCACATCATGTTGATGGCGGTGATAATGGTAAGGATGAGTAGACGGAGGGAGAGGAGGAGGAAGAGCTGGAGGAGGGGGGAGTAGAAGGAAGGATGAGGACGAACGAGGGGGACAGCTCTCCTGGTTTTCAGGGGGGCAAGGGCGTGTCTGGACCGAACGAAGCAACTGTCCTTGGCGACGCCTCAGAACGGCAAGCAGCCCGTACAGTGAATGAGTGGAGGGACAACAGCAAAAATCAACCGTGCCTTTCGCGGCACCCGCAAGACGCAGAACCGCGCCTCATATCCGAGGCACGAGCGCTGTCCCATTCACGGATGCTAGATGCTGGGGTCTGGCAAACGAAACCGCGCAACCGTTTTTATGAGCCACGCCACGCATCAACTACACTCGCTGCAATTACAGCCGGAACGGAAACATAGTGAATGCGTCGCACAGTCCTACATCATCTTCGACGAATAGAGGCCGCGATTTCGACGACAACCCGAATACGTCTCAGTCTAAGCCGTGGTCCGAGCACACTATTTGTCCTCAGGCCTGCAAGCTTGACTGCATCCTAGCAAGTACAGGAAGCGATCGCACTCCCACCTCCACCACCTCCGCACACCATTCACAACCTCTGGTCTGGAGTTACCTGCAAGTTCAGGTGTGATACTCAAGCTGGCGAGCACAGCCGACACAGAGCAATCAAGGAGGCACTCGGGCCGCTGCTTCGATGCACCGTGGCGAACCAAACAGATGCTGCCGAAGAGAACGAGCGCGAAATTGGTCCTTGAGGAACTGAGGCTGAAATGTGGGCGCAGTGTTCGTGCCCCTTGGAGGCTTCATCGGGCCCCCTCGGGTGTTTTTTGGACCCCGCACTGAGCAGAGGGTGAGACTGAGACACGCTGCACATATCCAGCGTCAGATGTGTTGAAACCACCTCGGCACGAACAAGATGACGACGGATACAGAATTAGATGTTCCCGGACAGGAAGTCGTTGAGAGGGACTCCCGAGCCAGTGGAGGGCGGCCTGATCCCAAGCGAAGAACGCACCTCCTGCTCCCGCATGCCATGCAAGAGCTCCTGCACCTCTTGGGGAACAAACCAGGGCGTCCCCAGACGGTGCGTCCCCATACGGTGCGGTGACAGACCGCGCGGTGATCTCGGAACCCCCAAAGAACGAGGGCGCGCCGCTGGATCCCCCAAAGGGGGGGGGCCGGGACGCCGCCCCCCCATTTCAAAGGGAGGGGGAGATTCCGAAACCCCGCCCTCGAAAATTTCCCCCCCCCTTGAGGAAGGGGGGGGGGTTCTGCGAGCACCCCCCCTTTACAATCACCTGGGGATCCAGCGGCGCGCTCTCATTGCTCACCGCACGGTCCGTCGCCGCGCGGTGTCGGGACCCTGCAGGCCCCCGTCGCCCGAGATGTCCTCGAAGCGCGGCCCCGGTCCCCACACCGGGCCTCGGCCATGTATCGGGTCCCCGACCTAGAATTCGGTCGGGCATGTCCTCCTACAGGCCGATTTTGAAGGAAACATATATATATATATAGAAGCACTTACATATGTTAGAAAGATGCAACAAAAACGTCCCCCGACTTTTTCGACACGCCCGACTCAAACCTAGATCTCACGAGCGGCCCGACAACAAGTGGCTCTCACTGCAGCGTCGTGGCCGTGCCTATACAGCCACTCCCCCGAGCACTCCCGGGGCGCGAACTCTGACCATGACTCCGAGGCGAGTCCGGCCGAAGGGCCCCCCAGGAGGCCAAGCAACGCGAGCGAAAGACTTCGGAACGCCCCGAGCAAGCCGATCCGACGCACTCTTCGATCCGATCCGCTTTCCCGACTCGATGCTGACTGATCCTCCCCCGCTTTGGGCCTGCTCCTCAGAGCACCTCGGGAGTGGGCGTGCGCCCCAGGGAATTCGAGGACGGCTTGTGCTCGTACACAACCGGGTCGCCGCCTTCCAGCCTCATCTCGATGACCGCGCCGCCGCGGAAGCGGTAGAACCTGTGGAGGCTTCCAAATTGAGTGAGGCCGGCGTGTATGTGGTCGCAGGATCGCGCCGCATCGCTGATGCATCGCCAACACATCGACGATGCACCTGCGACGTCGTCGATGCATCGGTGACGCTGGCGTGGAGAAAGAAAGTCGGGCTCGGCATCGCCGATGCTTCGGCGATGCGGCGCGATCCTCCGAACGCACTGGAAGGCTCAGGGCGGCGACCCCGCCCAGGAACGCAGGTTTTCGCGATAGGGGGCCTATCGCCCATGAGTCGGCGATGTATGGACGATTCCAGGTTGATGTTCCCCCCTCTGAGCTGGGGGGGGGGACTGGCTCAAGGGGGGGGTGGAACATCGACTTGGAATTGTCGATGCATCCACAATAGATCGGCGATGCGCCCCCGACACCGAACCCACAAATTGCTGGGCCAGCCCATGTCGGCGACCAACGGGCGATTGGGGGTCGATGTTCCCCCCATGAGCGTTATGTTGCATCCTCGGGAATCCTCAAAGAGGACCTTATCTGCCCCCTCTTGGTCTTATCCACGTCGAATCGGTGTCGAATCCATGTCGGACTCGTCGAATCCGCGTCGAATCCACGCAGAATCCGCGTCCAGTCCGCATCGAGCCCGCGTCGGGCACAAGAGAAGACACCACTTTGGGGGACGAGCGAGGCCCCCAACGTCTCCCCTCGAGATGGCTTTTGCACTCTGTTCTGGCAACGGCACCTCTTGGGCGGGGTGGGATACGTCGGGGCGAGGGTGCGCTGCGGTTGCCATAGCACTTGCCCGAGCACCCGCATTCGGGGGGGTCCGATAGGGAGCCCACAAAGGAGACCGGCCGCGTGATACGAACATTTGCGCAATGCGTACTCTCGAAACCAGCGTGGATTCATGCACGTGTACGTCCTCTTGTCGCTCCTGATCCAATCCCCCCCTTTCCATGCGATCGTTGCCATCAGGCCAGAGGGTTTGGCCCGGGTAACGACCGCTGCGCTCTGGGGCCGTACCTCGGGCCTCCGGCGGCCGTTCGCGAGAGGGCCTGCGGGCACCCCCGGAGGGCTCTCGGCGAGGCGCAGCTGCTGGAAGGCACTCCGAGGCGGGGGAGCCACCGAGAGCCCACGAACGCGCCAGATCGGGAGCGCGCAAACGTGGATTACCGATCCATGAATTTGGCGCGCGGTCGCCAAGTCCATGGATCGGGGGAGGTGGCCTCCCCCAAATGCGGCCGGTGCCGCCCAGTTCGGCGCTGAAATCCGCGATTTTCCCCATGGAAACGGGACCCGTCGCTAATCTATGCCCCCTTGATCCATGTTCGCGATGGCCTGACCACAGAACATCGAACCTTGAACCTCGAGCCTGTCCCCCCCTCGCGTTCCCCCTCAGAGCCTGTGGGCAAGGTGCTCCAGCTCGTCCAGGCCCACCTTCTTTGGCGCCGTCTGAAGCGCGCTGGCCTTGACGTCGGGGCTGGGTCCAGGCGTCTGCAGCACCATCGTGGGCTCCTCTGTGCGTCGTCAAGGGCCTGACGACTGATGTCCCTCGACTCGCGCTGGAGCAATGATCTCCCCAGAATTAGCTAAATATCGCAAGATGTACCTCGCTGTACCTCGCTAAATATCGCAACGATTTCCCCAGACTTAGCTGGATATCGTAGGATGTACCTCGCTTTGCTTGCGTTCACCTGAATTCCCCAAACAGTGCTTGCACTTCGGGGTTGTCATTTCTGTTCTGGAGATCCCAGACTGACGGCCAGTCTCTCCGATATGTGGCCACTGTCGCCGCCTCGTCGCCGCCGGTCGTCTGGACCTCACGGCCAATCTGGTGGCTATGTGGCCGCCGTCGCCGCCCCGTAGCTGCCCTGTCTGTCGGTCTACGTTTTCCCCACGGGCCCTTCTGACGGTCTCCCCTGGAGGAGGAGGAGGAGGAGGAGGAGGAGGAGGAGGAGGAGGAGGAGGAGGAGGAGGAGGAGGAGGGAGGAGGAGGGGGAGGAGGAGGAGGAGGAGGAGGAGGAGGAGGAGGAGGAGGAGGAGGAGGAGGAGGAGGAGGAGGAGGGAGGGGAGGAGGAGGAAATGGAGGAGGAGAAGGAGGAGGAGGAGGAAGAGGCCTTGAAGATGGCCCCAAGAGGGCCCGCCAAGCTCGCAAGAAGGCCCCCAGAGCCTCCATTTCCCGGTGCCGGTCGCTTTTGACGGCCGCTGGGCACGGAGGGGCTCCATGGAGTTCGAGAACACGGCGAGACGCCTCAGGACCTCGCGTCTTTGAAGGGGCCCTGGGACACACACACACACACACACACACATAAATACACACAAATAACAAGATTCCCAATATTTTCCCATAGTTCCTGGGTTTCTGTCTTCACCCTCACTTCCCATAGTTTCCTATATGACGATTTATTGTGTCTGTGTGTTTTTTTCCCTCCTGATTCTTGTCTGGATCCCTCCTCTTCACTCGGCGGCTGCAACGAGGAGGGGGGGGCAGCCCAGGGAGGGCCACTCCGTGCATCCCAGGGCCCTTGATTGCCCATGTCTTCGACGAAGGCCCCTGGCGAATCCAGGAAACGCCCTCGCCAGGGATCGAAAGAGAACGGCAAAAGGGGGGACCAACTCGACCCGGGATCGGCGACACGTCGCCGATAGATCCGCGATGGGCCCCCGACAGCGACGCCGCGAGCTGATGGGCCGGATGGGCTATCCGGCCCCATATCGGCGATGCATGCGCGACTGGGGATCGGTGCGTCCCCCCCTGAACCTATCCACCTCTCACGTCGGTCCCCGGCGTTTGTGAAGGGGCCCTGGGACACGCAAATAAACAGATACAGATAACAGGATCCCCCCTCATATTTCCCCATATGTTCTGGGCTTTTGTCTCCACCCCACTTTCCATATTTTCCCATTTTTTCTTGGGAATCGACGATTAATTGATGAGTTGTGTCTGTGTTTTTGTTTCCCCTCCTGAGTTTGGTTCCCACATCGGACCTCTGGCGGCCGCTCGGGAAGATCTGGGCGCCTCCCAGCAAAAAAGCTCCCGGCGAGGCGCACCTGCTGGAAGGCACCCCCGGGCCGGAGAGACACCGACAACAAACGAACGAACTTGAACTTCGAGCCTGAGCCCGGGCCCCCTAACTGGTGAATTTTCTTATCTTAATAAGGGCATGGCTGCCCATATTGGGCATGCGCTGACGAGTCTCCGCTGCTATGGCGCTGACTACGAGCCACGTCTACATCGCAGCACGAGGGGGCCTGGGAAAGGGGACGCTGCTCCTTGACGAACCCTTGCCCCCCTTTGTGGCGCCGTGACCGCGGCACCGCCTTGCAAAACCGACCCCCAGACATACGACGTCCTGATTTCTTTCAGGACGGCGTCACTGGAAGTCCCGACCCTTTCCCTGGGGCCCGCTTTTCATCCTGAATCGTCTCTTGACCCTCCCGAGGCCCGGCGAGGGCCCCCCGAGGCCGAAACTAGCCCAAAACCTCCCGTCCTGATCTTTTCACGACGCGAGCACGTCTGGGGTGCCCCTGGCGGGCTCCTGCTTCGGCCGCCTCTTGACACGGCCGGCGGTGGACGGGCGCGGCGTCGGGCTTCCCGGAGGCGAGAGGCCGCCCCCGCCGCTCAGGCGCGGCAGCGGGGGCGACCACGGCCGCTCGCCGACGTCGGCCGGCTCCCCGCAGAAGGCCATGCGCTTGCTGGGGTCGCCATCGAAGCCGTCCAGCGCCTCCAGGGCCCTCGGCGAGGAAGACAAAACCGCAGAAACACACACGACGTACCGATTTGAGCAGGGACCGACCGGCCCGGCAGTTCTATATATAGGCCTACCACGGAATGTTCTTAGAACCCAGAAATGCTCCAAGAACCAAAGACATGCTCGCAGAGCATGACATTCCCAGCCAGAAATGTTCTGAGAACATTTCGTTGAAACCACAAAAGGTTCTTAGAACATTATTGTCTTGGGTAGGCCTATAGGCGAGCCAAGACGCTTCGCCACTGCTTGACCCATGCGACCACACTTCGGCTGATGAGGACATTGTGTAGGGGGGGGGGGGTCGGCTGATGCCAACTGCGACGATTGTAGAGGTGACGGTGTTGGAGATGCAAACGCGAGCTGGTGACGACGCATGATGGCGATGCTGGTGGCGATGCGTGGCTGCGAATGGGATGGTGACGGTCTGGACACGCTGGGGCGTGCGACAGGGAGGAGGTCTTTGCAAGGAAACGGAATTGACGAGGAGGGGGAGGAGGAAGAGGATCATGAGGACGATGAGGAAAAGGAGAAGGAGGAGGATGAGAAGGAGGAAGAGGAGGAGGAGGAGGAGGATGAGGAGAGGCATGAACATGGACAGGAAGCAGGCGTGTAAGTGATCTCCTGGTGGGAAGCTCCGGCAGAGTCGTGGGAACGTCTGGAGCGCTCCCGGCCGAGATGCGCGCCAGGGGCGCGAAACTGCAGGGCGGGGGCGACCACGGGACGCGGCCCGTGGAGATCCACAGAGGCCCTGCCCCAGAGCCGCGAGGCGCTGCAGCGCGGCACCATTCGCCACGATGCGCGATGGCGGATGCCACGCCTGGCGCCGCCTGGCCTGAAGGCTGGGCCCCAGTCGAATTCTCGGCCGACGCCCCTCTCCCCGACGGCAAGAGCATCGAGGCGACGGCCTCCCCTCGAAACCACGGCGCCTCGCCCCCGCGCTGCCCGCCTTCGCTTGCAAGGAGACGCCCCGTCGCGCAATGAAGGGAGCAGTTCGCCACAGGGCGCTTGATCATTTCGCGCTGTCTGCGAGATGGCCGGGGTACCGCGATCGACGCGGCGTGTTTTTGGCAACGTCTTGTTCAAACAGAGAAGCAGGACGCCTTACGCGATGCCATCAAAAGCGAGCCGGGCGAGGCACACATTCATTCGGACTATGTACTATGAGCGGGTGCGCCATAGGGATGATCTCCACAAGCCAAGGCAAAAGCTTCGTCTCGAGCGCTACTTCAATCACCGCAACAGCTAGTTGCGCAAACACGGGAAGAGACAATGTCTGGGCGCAAAGTGCGCCATAGAGCACGGAGTTCGAAACAACGACGACGCGGACCTTGTGCCAGCTGGTTCCGCGAGCTGTCTCCGCAACTTGGAGATGCCAGCGGCACTGTTCGGAAAGCGTCGCCGCTGGACAGAAACTTACCGCAAGGACCCGTCCTTGTACAACATGTTCGGCGATGCGTTTCCTTGCCCGAGGCCGCGTCAGGTCGACCCGTTTCTTGCGCGCCTGATGGGTCAGCTAGCACTTCATTGCGGAGGTGGCGCGCGCGGCGCCAGCCGACGTTGAAACCGTCGCGCAAGCCAAGCAAGTGTTCAGTGGCCTTCGGCCCATCTCGTCAAGGCGCCTGAGGCGGGCTAACGTTCTACCTCCCTCCTGGCCGCCCATGTCTTCGACCGCCCATCCCCCCCCCCACCGCTTCCTGCGCCAGCGCAATTGAAGGAGTAAGAAGAAGAAGAAGAAGCGGGGGAGGAGGGAGATCAGGAGGGGCAGGAGAAGGAGGAGGGACTGGATGATGGTGATGATAGCGACTACGTTGGCAATGACGACGGCGACGATGATGATGACGGCGACGATGGCGATGATGAGAACGGTGATGGCGAGCTTGGCGACGATGATTATGATGGCGATGTTGCTGGGGAAGATAGTGACGATGACTATGATGCCGAGGGCGAGGGTCATGATGGTGATGAGAGTGCGGCGGATGATGATGATGATGATGCTGGTGATGATGATGATGATGATGATGATGATGATGATGATGATGATGATGATGATGATGATGATGATGGTGAGAACGCGCGCTATCGATTTGTCGATCGATCTCAATGTCGAACTGACTGGTGGTCTCACAAATAAACCTGACTGGTAGATCACTGTCGATTCGTATACAAGCTGGTGATTTCACCGTCGACCTGCTGATCGATATCACTACCGATTTGTCAAAGGATCCCACGATCGATCTCACTATAGATGTCACAATCGACCTCACGGGACACGACGGACAACCACGGGACGCCACGGAACACCGCGGGACACCGCGGGGCACCGCGCCACGGTACACCACGGGACACCGCGCTGCGACGACCTATCGAGACCTTGGCGCCTCTCCCGTGCTACCTGTCTTCGATTCCAATGGGGCGCCCCATCGCGCTTTGGAAGAAACGTTTCACTATGGGGCGATCAATCCTATCGCGTTTTCTGCGAGATGGCCACAAGCCAGCGATCGCAACGACGCGTTCTTGGCAGCTTCCCATCAACATGTCGAGTAGATTCTCTGTGCGAACTCGGCGGGGACGCGCCAGGCGAGGCGCAGAATCGATCGATGAATGCGCCGGTGCGTCACTGCAACGCGCCAGTGAACCAGCCAAGCGTGAACAACCGTAGGCGTACCCGCCATGCGACTGGCGGCTTCTGCGCCCGCGGCCGAGCCCGTAGCCTTACGTCGGGCGTGTCCCCCTACAGGGGGATTTGGGGCGGACAGAAAAATCAAAAAGATTCCAAACATGCCAACAAATACACCAAAAATGGACCCCTGATTATTTATTACTAGTTTTGAATCTTCCCCCTGTAGAGGGACAGGCCCGACATAAGCGTAGTCTCGCCATCGTCGGCGAGCTCCGCGCGAAAAAAGCGCCCCGGGACAGGCGGCGCCGGCGGGCTCTCCGGCCCGCCAAGGCCCTGCGCCTCCGAAGGAACCGAGGGGGCGCGCCGCCGCGGCAGCAGCAACGGGCGACCACGGGGGTTGGTGGTTATGCGGGAGCTCACGACGATCGAGCATCGTTTTGCTCCCATCGCCCCTCCCCATCCCGAGGGGGATATTTATATATATATATATATATATATGTATATATGTATACATATATATATATAAACAGTTATATATATATAGAGAGAGAGAGGCCGTTCCCTCTGGGTTTTTTCCAGGGGCGTATCCCCAACTGGGGGGGGGGTAACTTGGTGGGGCTCTCGAAAAAGATGGGGATGGGGCTGGGGAGCGGATAGACTTTGGACGCCCGGAATGGGTACGGGAAAAATGGGTACAATGCCCAACAACAAAAGTTGTCCCGAACCAACAGCGGCCGCTGTTGGGCAGGCGGCCTTCTGTCTCGAATGGACACAGGCCGCAGCGGCGCGGACAGCGAGCCCTGCCCAAAAGGAACAGGAACTGCTGTTGAGAATTGTGCCCGTTCTTTCCGTGCCCATCTCGTTCGTGCAGATGGACGACGCTGAACGATGGCGACGCACACTGCGGCTTTCCAGCGGGCGAGGCGATCGGCCGTAGCGAAGAGGGCGCAGCTGCACCCGCAGCGCCACGCCCCCCCGCTGCCGCTTCACGGAGCCGCGGGTCCTGGGCGGCCACTGGAGGGCCCACCAGGCGGCCGCAGGCAGCGCCCGCCCGGGCGAGCGCGACCAGCGCGCGCCCTCGTGCGCCACAGCGCGCGAGGGCCGCCCGGCGCGGCCCGGGGGAGGAAGGATCGGCTCGCGAGAGCAGGAAGTGGAAGGGCGTCAGCTTGCCCGCCCTCGAGACTTCCCCCCCCCCCCCCCCTTGAGCCAAAAGGGCTTGGGCCAAGATAGCCTGAGAGATGCTTATGATGAGAGCGACGATGATGGATGATGATGATGATGATGATGATGATGATGATGATGATGATGATGGTGATGGTGATTATGCCCACTATCGGTATGATGCGGATGGCAATGCTGTCGGTGATAATGATGTTGACGATGATGAACAGTGTGACGATCGTGATGATGATGATGGTGGTGATGATGATGGTGATGATGGTGATGATGACTAGTACTATTAGTATGCTGATGCCGATGGGTAGGATGACGAAAGCGACGCTGTTGATGACATTGGTGATGATGTGTTGCTGCTGCTGCTGGTGGTGGTGGTGATGATGATGATGATGATGATGATGATGATGATGATGATGCTGATGCTGATGCTGATGATGATGATGATGCTGATGATGATGATGATGATGATGATGATGATGATGACGATGATGATGATGATGAGCAGGCTCACTATCGATTTGGTATATATCTCACTGGGCAAAACGTCCCTTGGTGCCACGCGCACAGGGAGAATGATTGTCTGTTCGCCTCCCTCGCTCTGGTGAGCCTTCGGTGCTCCACGCAGACTTTCTGGATCCGGGCGCCGCCTCCGACGCTGCTCCTGGCGCGCGGAGCGCGCCAGGAAGAGGGGGCCCAGCGCCGATCCAAGAAGTCCGCGCGGAGCCCCGAAAGTTCAGTATCCAACCAGTGCTTCCACCCAGGCACTCCCGCGTGCGTTCTCATGGAATATGACATGTGCCTGGCCGGCCATGTCGCCACCCCGTCGCCGCCCGCAATCTGGGCCTGACCGTCGGTCTGGCGGTTCCGTGGTCATCGTCGCCGCCCCGTCGTCGCCGCGTCGTCTGGGCCTGACCGTCGGTCTGGCGATTCCGTGGTCGCTGTCGCCGCCCCTTCGCCGCCCCGTCGTATGTCGCGCGCGCGCGCGTGTCGGATTCGTTCCAAAAGCCCTGCGGTCAGCAAGGGTTTCTAATCGGGTGTCCCGCAAACCCAAAAACATTGTTTTGCAACATCAGTGTTCGAAAAAAGATCAGCGCGCGCGAATTCTTAAGGCAATTATTGGTGTTCCAAAAATTCCATCAAACTCGACCAAACGGGACCCTCGCACCGCATGTCGGAATCATTCGAACGGCCTGGGGGGGGGAACCTCATGGATAAATAAGACCATGCGGGTCACTCGGCCGCGCGCGTATGCCGAGCTCCTTCCAAACACTTTATCATTGACGCGAAGACACCGTCATCGTCATCGGCGTGATCGGCATCGGCACCGTCATTGGCCTTGCCGGCGTCAACTTGCGACGCACAAGCCAATACCACGCACTCAATGCAATCGCCGCCGCGTGGGAATTGCAAGCCAGAGTTGCGGGCCAGTGGGTGGGATGATTGCGTAAGCAGTGGAGTTGTCAACTCCGAGCTTTAAATGAACTGCACAACATCGGTTGCACCACGTATATTGTCCTTTTTCCAAAAAAATCTAGATTTACCACACCCACCCTCCAGCAGTATCCGCCAGCCTTGTTGTATTGCAGGGTACACAAGATTTTACCCCATCGCCCATCCGAAATATGAGCCCACACCATTCCAGTCGAGTCAATACTTACCCCGCCATCTCCTGGCAATGAAGATATGCGCGCACATTCGTTCATAATAATCAGCAGTTGCAAACAATCCCTGGCAGCACACGGTACGAAATGCATGCACGCGCGCCGTCGCGCGCGCATGCCAAAAACCAGAAACCCTTCAACAATCTTGAGTCAGACAGGGGCGTGCGCGTATTTTTGCTATAATTCCCGGTATTATCATTATCGCCGTTAGATATGCAGATGTGTGCACATATATGTTTATTGCAATACAAACAAACGGAAGCGATGAACACATGGTTTTGCAACATCGGCGTTCGACAAAGATGTCGGCGCGCGCGGGTCCGTGCAACTTCCTAAGAGGAGCCAACGTGTTTTCAACATTGCCATCGCATTGGACCAATCGGGCCTCTCGCGCGCAGCATGCCGAAATTATTCGACCGCCCTTGTGCACGAGAAGGGGGGGGAGGGCGACCGCTTGTACGAAAACATACTATGCGAGCCACTCCCGCGCGTCGGCCGCGCACGCATGCCGAAGTCCTCCCAACACTTTCCTCGAAGATGCTATGACACCATCAACGTCATCGGCGTGATCAGCATCGGCGACGTCATGCGCATTGCGGCCGTCATCGTCATCATCGCCACCATCATCAGTACCATCAGCCTCGTCTCTGCCGTTGTTCAAGTCACCGGCTCGCACTGAAGTCACCAGCGGTCAGCGCCACCGCGGCCGCGTCGGTCGCGCCAGGCTAGCTGTCCGCTGTGCGCGCCGCAGGGATGCATCAGCCAGCGCAACGCATTCATCGCAATCGCCGCCGCATGGATTTTGCAAACCAAGTTGCGGGTGGGTGGGTGGGACGATTGCACGGGCAGCGGAAGTTTACAACTCAATAAGAACCATAATGAATTTTCTCCTTTCTTAAAAAGAATAGACTCTACCCCCCCTGGAACGCTTCCCCATGGGATAATATAATTTCACATATATATATATATATATTCTGCACACTCGTCCATCCTAGATATGAAATCGTACCATCCCAGCTAGGCCGGCTTCCCCCCCTGAGGTTCCCTTGTGAAAAACACTATGCGGTGACATGTTTTGTTCTAGCATCGCACTTTTTCGCGAATCCCTTGCAAAAAACGAGACGAACTGCACACGCGCGCGTCGTCGCGCGCGCATGCCGAAATCCTTCAAAAACCTTCGGTGCCGGAAGGATTTCGCAATCGAGCTTCCAAAAAACATACGAAAACACATGGTTTCGCAACACTGATTTGCTAAAAAAGCTTTCGCGCGAGCTCTTGCGATATCTTAAGAAAACCATGAGTTTTTCAAGATGTTCACCAAATACTACCAAACGGGCTTCGCGCGCGCTCATGTCGAAATCTGTCGAACGCCCTTGCGCGTGTGCCGTCGCGAGAATCCCCTGCAAAAAATGGGACGAAGTGCAGACGCTCGCGTCGTCGCGCGCGTATGCCGAAATCCTTCAAAACCAATCGGTTTCGGAAGGATTTCAAAATCGTGCGTCCAAAAAACCTACAAAAATCCAAGCTTTAGCAACACGGATGTTCAACAAAAACGTGCGCGCGCGCTCTTGCGTCGTAGTCGTCGTCGTCGTCGTCGCCGTCCTCCCCCCTCCCGCGTCGTTGTCGTCGTCGTCGTCGTCGCCAACGTCGTCCTCTGTCTTTCCTCGTGTTCGTCGTCGTCGTCCTCTTTGGCGTCGTGGTCGTTTCCATCGTCGTTGTCGCCGTGGTCGTCCTTCCTCCTCCTCCCTCGTCGTCGTCGTCGTCGTCCGTCGTCGGCGTCTCGTCGTCGTCCCTCCTATTTCGTCGCCGTCGTCGTCGTCGTCGTCGTCGTCGTCGTCGTCGTCGTCTTCTCTCCTCCCTCGTCGTTGCCGTCGTCGGCGTCGCCGTCCTTCCTCCTTCTTCGTCGTTCGCGTCGTCGCCGTCCTCCCTCCTCCCTCGTCGTTGTCGTCGTTGTCGCCGTCGTCGTCCTCCCTCCTTCCTCGTTGTCTTCGTTGGCGACGTCGTCGTCGTCTTCGTCGTCGTCGTCGACGTCGTTGTCGTCTTCGTCGTCGTCGGCGTCGTCGTCATCGCCGCCGTCGTCGTCGTCGTCGTCGGCGTCGTCGTTATCGTCGTCGTCTGCGTCGTCATCGTCGTCGTCGTTGTTGTCATCGTCGTCGTCGGCGTCGGTGTCGTCGTCGTCGTCGTCGGTGTCGTCGTCGTCGTCGTTGTCGGCGTCGTCGAAGTCGTTGGAGACGTCGTCGGTGTTGTCGTAGTCGTTGTCGGCGGCGTCGTCATCGTCGCTGTCGCTGTCGTCGTCGGCGTCGCTGTTGTTGCCAAGTGCCATGTGGTACCCACCGTCACGGTCTTAAGAGACTTTGCAAACCAAGTTGCGGGTGGGTGGGTGGGATGTTTGCGCGAGCAGTGGAGTGGACAACTCACTGCGAACAGAAATTAATTGCACCGCATAGATTGTACCTCGTAGATTGCACTACATTGGTTGCACAACACAGACTGCACTGCGTATATAACACAGCACACATGCTTCTTCTACGGGGAATTGAAGAAATTTACACCCCCCTCCCCGGGATGATCCCCCTTCCCACCCATTGGAAATGTGCAATTTACATACGACTATGCCCACCCCGCCCATTGTAAATTTGAGTTCGTACCATCCAACGCAATCCATGATCGACCCCCCAGTCATGCTCTGGAAAAGAACATATGCGCACACGGTCGTCCATAACAAATCATCACTTTTTACAAATAACGTTCAACGATTGGGACGAAGTGCGCACGCGTACAACATATGTTGTACACCGCATCGGTTGCACCACTTATCTAACACCACTTAGATTGCGCCACATAGATTGCACAACGCAAAATGCACCACGCTTATTGCACCACATGCACTGCGCACCACAGATCACCACAATGAGATTCAACAACGCATTTTGCACCACGCAGGTTGCATCACATAGATTGCACCACATAGGGTGTTCCACAAATATTGCACACCACACAGATTCCAGCATCCAGTCTGGGGTCCACGCTGGCTAGTACGCTTACGTCTTTGTGTGGCTCTTCGACCTCTGCTGGCTCACCAGCTCGTCCACGTGGTTCCGCCACATGCGGGCCGAGATCAGCGCGTCCATGTCGTCCACCTTGAGGTTGTCCGCGCGCTTGTACGCCGGCGAGGCCGGCACCGGGGCCTTCGCTTTGGGGCCCTGCGCCTTCAGGCCGCCGGCGGAGCCCCTGCGGTCGGGGTGCACCTGCGCGACGCGCGAGCCCCGCGGCGCCTCGACCGTCCGGACCTGCAGCGACACCCTCGAGATCCTCTCGGGGAGGTCCGCGTCCAGGTCGTCGCCAAAGGCCACCGTCTTCGACCCGAGGCGCCTGCTGGACTCCTGTTGGCGGCGCGCAGGGGGGGGTGGGGTAGGGGGAGGGGGGGGAGGCTTCGTTGAAGGATGCTTCTTCCTGGCAGGCGCCGGCCCTACATCTACAGACGAGGCCCGCGCCTTCTAAGAAGCAGGGGGACTTGTGAGAAGCCTCCCTCCCCCCCCCTGCCCCCTCTGCAAGGGCGCCTAGTTTCGCGCCTCGCGCTGCGCGGAGCGCGAATCACTTCGCGCTCTCGCGCCGCCTTCCAGGGGAGAAGAGGAGGAGGAGGAGGAGAAGGAGGGGGAGGAGGAGGAGGGAGGAGGAGGAGGAGGAGGAAGGAGGAGGAGGAGGAGGAGGAGGAGGAGGAGGAGGGGAGGGAGGAGGAGGAGTGGGGGGGGGGGGGGGGAGGGAGAGGGGAGGAGGAGGAGGAGGAGGAGGAGGAGGAGGAGGAGGAGGAGGAGGAGGAGGAGGAGGGATCGAGGTCGAGCCGCGCGGCGCGAAGAACCTCGCGCCGTCGAGGGCGCCTGTCGAATCGGCGCGTGGCCCCGCGCCCGAGCGCCCCTGCAGTCGGGCTGCCGAAATAAGAGGCGCTACGTAAGGAACGAAGCCCCTCTGTGGCTTAAGCCCGGGTGCACGAGAAGAGCTAGAGGAACAACCACGGAAGGACGTAAGGAACATCGAGCCCCTTCCTGATCTCAGCGTCTTGGCTCAGCGACAAAAAAGGAACGAAGCCCCTCTGTGCCCAGTGGGCCCTGGAAACGACAGGGCCGTTTTGTTACCGGCTCCGTTTTGCCGCTTTCTTGCAGGTTCCGACGCCGTTTTTTACCGGTTCCGTCGCCGTTTTGGTTACCGGTTCCGGCCCCAGCTCCAATCCTGGAGCCGTTTTTGTTGCCGTTTCCGGTCGCAGTTTTTTTGCCGTTTCCATTTTCAAGGGACATTTTTTGGGAAACGGTGACAAAAACGGCCCTGCCGTTTCCGGGGCCCACTAGGCCTCTGTGGCTTCAAAAAAGCCCGGGTGCACGAGAAGGGCTAGAGGAGCAACCACGGAAGGACGTAAGGAACATCGAGCCCCTTCCGGATCCAGACGGTTCCTGATCTCAGCGTCTTGGCTGTGCCCCCATCTGCGCGCGGCCGATCCTTGGAGGGCGCCAGCCTCTCGGAGTGCGTCGCGACGGACTCCTTCGAGGCCGTCTTGGCAGGGCCGGGCGAGTCGGACTCGGCGGCGTCCGCCTCGGGCGAGGCGGCGCGCACGCTGCTCCGTCTGCTGGCCTCCTTGGCCACCTCCCGCTGCTTGACGATCTCCTGCGGCGGGCTGTTCCGAGGCTCGTCGCTGTTCGGCGGCGCGCACAGGGGGACAGGGGGGGGAGGGGGGAAGGCTTCTTACAAGCACCCCTGCCTCCTAGAAGGCGCGGGCCCTTGCTCTGTATAGACGAGGCCCGCGCCTTCTAAAGGCCAGCCTCCTTCCAAGAAGCCCTCCCCCCCTCCCCCTGCCCCCCCCTGGGCGCGCCGCCAAGCTGTAGCTCACGAAGGGGGTCTTCCGCTGGATAGACTGGATGTCGCGGTACTCCAGAATACCTGACGGCACCACCTCCCACTGGAACTCCTCCGGCTTCATGACGGGGAATCGGATGAGCTCGATGAATTCGCTGCCGGCGGCGTTGCGCCTGTGCTCTGGCAGGGTGGGCAGACCCTGCTGCCTGCAGCGATGATCGGCCCAGGCGAGCAGCGCTCGGAACATGTCGATCTCGCTCACGCTGCACATCTCCAGAGAAAAGATGTGCTTGACAACACTTCTCTCCTCCTCGAGGAACTCTGGAGTCCCGACCACGACGTCCGTGCGCTCCCGGATGCACTTCCAGCTCCTCTTGTCGAGGGCGTGGCCCACCTCCACGAGCGTCTTGCAGAGCGAGGTGGGCGCCACGCAGGGCACGATTGCCTTCCCGCCTGCGGCCAGGGAGGGGAAGGGGGTGGAATGCGAGTGGGTGGGGCGCTCAGGATCTATGAGCTGAATGGCGAGACTGGAACAAAGGGGCCCTGGGACGCACAAACAAGTAGACACACACACACACACACACACACATCCCAGGATTCACAAGAGTCTCCCATATGTTCTGGGTTTTCGTCCTCCCCCCACTTCGCATAGTTTCCTATTTTTCTTGGGAGACGACGATGCGTTGTGCCTCTGTGTTCCCCTCCTGACGAAATCAACGCACAAAGACTGATATTGCATCTTTGCCACCAAGGCTGTCGGCGGATCAAAGATGAGCCCTGAAGGATGGGGCCCTAAGGAGAAGAGACCTCAGGCCATGTTACGATCAAAGCTGATGGTAAGGGTGCGCGATGAGGATGCGAGTCCCTTGGACGTCCGTGTTGAAGCCTGTTCGAGCGCGGCGGGCCATCGAAGGCAGTCAAGGATGGACCGAGGAGGCAAGGATGCAAGGATACTCCGGATTCCAAAATAAAGTGGGGGGGGTCACATTTGGGGGGGGTCTGACTTGAGCTGTCTTGGAGGGTTCGGGGGGGTCTGGGCAAAGGGCGCCCTTTCATGGATGGTCTGGGGGGGTCTAAGACTCCTCGTCTGGGAGGGTTGTGAGCCCCCTCCCTTTTATTACGAAATCTGGGGTACCCTGGGGCAGATAGCCCGTCCTTGTCATCGGTCTCGACTGTACTTCTAACCTGGGCTGCCTTCCCATCCTGGGGCCCCCAGCCATCAGGGCCCCCATCTCTGAGCCACCGAAAACTGGCCATCGCTCGGACGTCCATTCCCTGTGTTGTTTTGGGTTTCGCGCGTGGGTTTTTCGCCGAAAGATCAAGGAGGTCTTCGCCGAAGGAAAAATGCACACGTCCGAGCGATGCCAAGACCGAGGAGAGGCAGGAGGCGGATAGAGAGGGGGTGGAGAAAGAGGAGGAGGAAGGGGCGAGCGGGCAGGAGGCGCGGGTGGAGGGGAAGTGGCGGCGCGTGCAGAAGACCTCTTGGAGTGAGGCTGCTTCTCTTTGAAGGCGCGGGCCCTGCCTCTACAGACAGGGCCCGCGCCTGCTAAGAACCAGCCTCCTTTTTAAGAAGCCTTAGCCCCTACCCCTGCCCCTGTGTCTTAGAAGGCGCGGGCCCTACGTCTACAGACGAGGCCCGCGCCTTCTAAGAACCAGCCTCCTTCTAAGCAGCCTCAGCCCCTACCCCTGCCCCCCCTTTCTGCGCGTGGCCGAAGCGGGCCGAAGGCGCGGGGGGAGGGGAGAGGGGAGGCGACAGCGGATGTGCGCAACGCTCGGGAAGACAGAAGGCTCGAGCTCGGAGGACTCGAGCTGGCCGGACGGGCCATCACAAGAACGGCGAGACCCAATCTTAAACCTGACGCTAGCCCTCTGAAGGGGCCCCAGGACACACAAATAAATACACACAAATTAAAGGATTCCCCATATTTTCTCATATTTTCTGGGTTTTCGTCTTCCCCCCCACTTCTCATATTTTCCCATATTTTCCTGGGAGTGGACGATTAATTGTGTCTGTGTGTTTTTACCCCTCCTGACCCTCGTCGTAGACACCCCACGGAGACTGGGTGTGAGAAAGGAGGTGGAGGAAACATCGAGGAACAAACAAATGTCATAGATATAAGCTGGCAGAGGTCCTCGAGGATTTCTGGAATCGGCGCTGGAGCCCCCTGGCGGCGCCTCCGGCGCCGCCCCTGGCGCGCTCCGCGCGCCAAAGAGAGGAGCCCAGCGCCGGCCCAACAAATCCGCGCGGACCTACGACGGTTCATGCTCGTGCCCTACGGTGTTCCTCAGAGTAACTTGCGGGCAGGAGGACCTTCGGCCAGCTTGAAGATGTCGCCGGCATTCTTCCCCTGCACCTGGCTCATGAACACGTCATCCCAGGCGCTCGCCGCGTCGTCCACGTCGGTCTTCGTGTCGTAGCCCGCGTCCGACGTCGCCACGGAGCTCCTCCGGCTCTCGGGCCTGCTGCCCATGCGGCTGCCCGCGCGGCTGCCGAGTCGGCTGCCCATCCTGCTGCCGAGCCTGCTCGCCACCCGGCTTCCCTGGAGGCTGCTCCTGCCGCTGCCCGTGCCCGCCTTGTCGGCGAGCTCCTGCATCCTCTTCTTGCGATCGGCGAGGCTGAACTCCTTGAACTTGGCCAGGATCTTCGAGCTCTCCACCGTGTCGCGCCAGAGCACGACCACCGCTTTGAGGAGCAAACTCTTTATCACCCTGAGCACTCTCAGGGCAGTGTCCGGCCGCACGACGTTGCGCAGGAAGTCCAGGCACTTCTCCGTGAGGCCTGGCATGTTGAAGTCGTCCGCCAGGAACGATAAAGTCTTGACGTTGTCCAGCGTGATGTTGAGCTCATCTTTGTATATGTAGCGCAGGAGCTCGAAGAATGCATCGAAGGGATACTCGACGACGACCTCCAACGGCTTCTGCGGCGTTGCCTCCGGAGGCCCTGTCGCGATCTCCTTCGACCCACTGCGGTCTTCGCTTCGAGACGACTGGTAGATTGGAGAATCTGCGCGCTCCTCTGCGCCCCTTCTCGCTGAGGGGTCTGGCGATGGGGATGCCGTGGGTCTGCCGGCCGCGCCATGAAACTGCGAGAGCTTCCAGATGCGGCACCTGCCGCCGTCATCCTTCACGGGGGCCTCGAAGAGTCTGTGGTAGAAGACCGGCGACGCCACTCCCAGGATGCAGCGGTGCGCGGGTATCTGCACGTCCCCGACGTGAAAGATGATGTCGCTCATGGTGCGGCAGTTGAACAGAGACCCTATGCGATCGGACACGGACGTGTGCTTCGTCTGCCAGCCGTTCTCGCGCACGTGCCCCGACCCCTCGTGCTTGTCGTGGGAGGCGCCCCCCCTGGGGGTCCGACGCCGTGAAGCATGGCAGTCCCCGTGAACAGTCACGGCTGGGCCTCCCGAGCCCGATCTATCCGTGAGGGTCCTGGGGATCGACACGGGGCCCACGGCCCACGTGCAGGTCTTGACGCTCTTTGTCTCGCCACGCCCGGACACGCACAAGGCTTAACGGGCGAAGAACGGTATAAGATAAACTTTTTCGCTGTCGGGGGCGCCTGCCCCTGGGCGGCTGGAAAGTTTATACCCT